AACAATAAAATTCTCAACGACGGCAGCTATACAAAAATTAAAAGAGATTCCCACCAACAGCCTCGTCATACAAACCAACAAAATAATTTCTGATTCAACCGCATTAATTGATCAGACCAAACAGTTCTCGTTGAAACGTTCTGCTGCCAGGCCACCAAGATTATATGGCTTACCAAGTGAGAATTTTATTGTTTTATATTTTTATTATTTTATATTTTTATTATTTTATTGGTTCCCTTCTACGTGACTTTACCGAAAGAACAAAGAATATTAATCCCTGCAGTCACGAAAGCTTTAAATCAAAATGTACGATGGGGTCGTCGTAACGCATCTCCATCATAAGTAGAGGACTGCCTGTATATGTTCAGTGTTGTCTTGATCTTCCCGTACCTCGTGTGTAATTCGAAGCGTGCGTGTCTCCCCGCTTTGCGCGCTGTTGAGATCTGTTTTATGTCCTTCCATCAGCGTGGTGTCAGGTGATGTGATGAGTGGTGAGTCAGGTGAGTGTGTTGAATATTAGACCGAGGGTCATAAAAAATTAACCCGTAAAAACAAAGTTTTTCACTCTAAATCCTTTATATGCGTGGTGGCGGCTAGAGTCCTCTCGTCCTCTGGCTTGAGATGGCTGCCACCTATGGGTCAGATGATTGCCTGCCACCATTAAGCAATTGGTAATTAAATAAATAAATCCTAAAAAGTGTAACATTTTGGAAAAAAATTTCACGAAAATAAATTGTCACGCACAATTAAACAAACGAGTGTTACCGAGTTTGCAGGGGTGTAAGTTAGACCCACAGCGTTCAGAGTGTTTGGCTGCTATACATTTCCACGCGATGTTGATGGTGATAAGCCACTTCGTTGCGCTATCATTTGTGATAGGTCGCTTCTGAATAAAATATTTAAGAATACTGTTTTTTTAAAACACGCTTTAATGAAATGTACTGTCCGAGCTGCCCCTCCCCCTGCCCCCTTCCCCCATCGCCCCTCCCTCCTTCCACACCGATGTGTGACGAGGGGGGGGGGGGTGTTTGAGAAATGTGACGTCACATAAAAATGTGCAACTTTAAATAAATATAGGCAACACGTTTTACTTAATTAAATAGACTTTTTGATAAATGTTTTCTCCTACAACATCAGAGTGCAGCGCCACATTAAATACGCACTACAATGACAACAATAGTTTACAGCGATTTGAAGCATGTTTTATTTGGGGGGGAGGGGGGCAGAGCTTCGTGACGTCATATTTGAGGGGGGGGGTCTGACTTTTTGTGACGCCGTGTGACGAGGGGGGGGGGGGTCAAAAATCGTCCAAAATCGCGTGACGTCATTTATGGACGGCCCCACACCTGCAAACCCATTATCAGTGCCACCTTATGAGGGACCAATTTAGACGTGATTGGTCAACGTTAATTCTACAAACTCCCATCACAAGGGAGAAACACGGAAAATGTAGATAAATTAATTCTAGATTTGAAGCTTTCGTGACTGCAAGGATTCATATTCTTAGGCTTTTTCGGTAAAGTCACGTAGGTAAAAAATTAATAAAAATAAAATAAAATTTTTACCTACGTGACTTTACCGAAAAAAACCCAAGAATATGTAGACAAATTATGTTTATTTTTTAAATCCTTTATATTAAGTTCACTTGCTTGCGCGCTTACGACCGTGCAAATCTTTCGGTCATGTTTTAACCCACTTCCCAGTGATCCTATCGAGCTGACATTTTGCACACAGACTCGTTGTGCGTGACAATTAATTTTCGTTAAAAAAATTTCCACAATTTTACACTGTTTAGGGGAAAATAAATAAATATTTAATTACCAATTGCTTAATGGTGGCAGACAATCATCTGACCCATAGGTGGCAGCCATCTCAAGCCAGAGGACGAGAGGACTCTAGCCGCCACGCATATAAAGGATTTATAGTGAAAAATTTTGTTTTTACGGGTTAATTTTTTTGCACAATCTCCTTCTCAATCGAGAGTAGCAAGACAAGGCGGCGTTGTTGTTCTACGGTTGATCGGAGACAGTTTTTTGTTATCAGTTTTAGGTAGCGGCAACATGGGGCAGCAGCAGCAGCAGCAAACTGCAGAGAGTTTTCACTGAAGACCTACGAAACAGAAGTGCCTAGGGGCCTACAAGAGCCTTGCTACTACCGCCGCTGTCATTCGTGTGGTTGTGCGATGAAACGCAATTGAAAGATTCTAGATTTGAAGCTTTCGTGACTGCAAAGATTCATATTCTTAGGTTTTTTCGGTAAAGTCACGTAGGTAAAAAACTAAAATTAAAAATTTAAAATAAAAATCACGACGTTTCGGAGGCAACACAAGCTTCCGTCTTCAGGTGGAACCGTCACAGCACGATAGCTGTATCACTTGATACAGCTATCGTGCTGTGACGATTCCACTTGATACATGCTGTGACGGTTCCACCTGAAGACGGAAGCTTATGTTGCCTCCGAAACGTCGTGATTTTTATTTTATTTTACTTTTATTAATTTTAATTTTTTACCTACGTGACTTTACCGAAAAAACCTAAGAATAACAATTGAAAGATGTTTATTTGCAAATTTTTCAATGAAAAAAATCTCGAAAAGTTATTCGCCAGTGTTAATTCCTCTCACCTTGTGAAAACAACTGATCGACATGCCTCTGCCATCTCTGTAATAAACACTGTGCCGATCCTTGCTATATGCTTATATATTTATTGAAGAAGACATCTTCGTTACATTTCTTATCATACAAACAACAATCTGATCACATTTTTGTTTCCTGTAGGCTCTAGGCACAGTGCCCACTCAGGCCTATTGGATAATATATAAACGGCAAAGTTGTGATTATGCGTGTCTGTTCAAAATGTTTGGCGTACTTCCCGACATGCAACAAACTGGAAATTTGCCATGTGGGTACTTTCTAGACTGTACACCATGCAAACATTATAAATATACACTTTTTTTGGGGGGGGGGAGCTTCAATAATGCATTGATTTTTTTGCACGGCAAGTGAGCTGTGACATCAAATCTGTCACGTGACCTGCGCATGTGGAAGCGTAACGCGTTGTAGTGTAGTGGTTAGCGCTACGCTGCGCTACGAACCCGGCGACCCGAGTTCGATTCCCGCTCACGGCCACCACCGGTGACGATTAATTTAACCGGTCCTGGGCCTCCCCTAGGTTGACTCGGCCTCAAACGAGTAACTGGTCTGCTGTGTGAACATCGCCACTGGGGGGACAAAGGCGGCCGGGCTTGGTGCTGTCACCCACCCTCTCGTTGGATAATATGGCCCTGGTGGTTGGCTGGGCGAGTGGGTGGGTGGGTGAGTGGCTGGGTGAATGGCTGGGTGAGTGAGTGAGTGGGTGGCTGGGCGGGTGGCTGGGTGGGCGGGTGGCTGGGTGGGGGTGGCTGGGTGAGTGGCTGGGTGAGTGAGTGAGTGGGTGGGTGGCTGGGCGGGTGGCTGGGTGGGCGGGTGGCTGGGCGGGTGGCTGGGTGGGCGGGTGGCTGGGTGAGTGGCTGGGTGAATGGCTGGGTGAGTGAGTGAGTGGGTGGGTGGCTGGGCGGGTGGCTGGGTGGGTGGGTGGCTGGGTGAGTGGCTGGGTGAGTGGCTGGGTGAGTGGCTGGGTGGGTGGCTAAGTGAGTGAGTGGGTGAGTGGCTGAGTGAGTGAGTGGGTGAGTGGCTGGGTGGGTGAGTGGCTGGGTGGGTGAGTGGCTGGGTGGGTGAGTGGCTGGGTGGGTGAGTGGCTGGGTGGGTGAGTGGCTGGGTGGGTGAGTGGCTGGGTGGGTGAGTGGCTGGGTGGGTGAGTGGCTGGGTGGGTGAGTGGCTGGGTGGGTGAGTGGCTGGGTGGGTGAGTGGGTGGCTGGGTGAGTGAGTGGGTGAGTGGCTGGGTGGGTGAGTGAGTAGGCCCTTAGCACAGTGCTTACTGTGGCCTATTTGACGACACGGCCCTGGGTACTGGTGATCCTGCAGCTGATGAAGCTGCACAAACATATACTTCCCGCCATTTCTGCACTATTCACATCCCAGTTATTTTGCTTCAAAACAAACCAAACGAGACATTCCGCTGCACTTTTTCTTTTTGAAATCCTTTATATTAAGTTCGCTTGCTTGCTTACGACCGTGCAAATCTTTCGGTCGTTTTTTAACCCACTTCCCGTGATCCAATCGAGCTGACATTTTGCACACAGACTCGTTGTGTGAGACAATTAATGTTCGTGAAATTTTTTTTCCTAAATTTTACACTTTTTAGGGAAAACAAATTAAATATTTAATTACCAATTGCTTAATACTGCCAGACAATCATCTGACCCATAGGTGGCAGCCATCTCAAGCCAGAGGACGAGAGGACTCTAGCCGCCACGCATATAAAGGATTTAGAGTGAAAAACTTTGTTTTTACGGGTTATACTTTTTTACGATGCGGCTGCCTTGTTTGTGACGCGCTTGTTCGTAAAAGGCTCACAAACCTTTTATCAGATATTCACACGATCATCTCAGAGGTGTTTATGATGCAGCCACTCTCTGTCGATCCCGTGTTTTCCCAGTCACTCGGTGTTCCCGACCTTGACGAATCCCCACTCTCTTTGTAATCGTCAGCTTTTATCATAATCCCGTACAACCTTACCACGTTGTCCCACCACCAGATCACCATAATTATCATTGCATATTCATAGCTTGCCTTCCACGCCCCGGACATCTTGAGAGAAGCTGGTGCTGGGTGCAACGGAACCATCGGCTGCGTCAGATTTGTACACGTAATTGGTAACAGCAGCATCATCGGAATAATTATACTGGTAGGAACCCACTGGTTCCACCAGCCCACAGGGGATTATTGTGTCCATTCGTCGTGCAGGGAGGGGCTGGGTGGGGAGGGAGGGGCTGGGTGGCGAGGGGAGGGTGGGGAGGAGCTGGGTGGGGAGGGGCTGGGTGGGGAGGGGCTGGGTGGGGAGGGGCTGGGTGGGGAGGGGCTGGGTGGGGAGGGTGGGGCTCACTGTCCAACGCACCCGCAGGCACCCGCTGCCGGCTGGGCATGGAGAAGCACGATGAAGCGGACTCGATGGAATTCATCGACTGGGATCGGATGCCCGAGCGCGGCAACAATGGCGGCGACGGCGGCGGCGGCGGCAGCGGCGTGGACGAAGCGTTCTTCCGTTCGGTCGAGCAGACGCAGCTCAAGCTCATGGCCAGGTGAGAGAGTGTTGTGTGTGCGGCCTTTGTGCGCGCCTCCCAACTCCCGCCTCGATACCCCAACGATGGCCGTGGCTGCGTCGGCATTGCCACCAACGGCGACGTTGCCGGAAGCAGCGTCGGCAGCGTCGTCGTCAACACCGAAGCCGTTGTGGCCTTCACATACGTCGGGGCAAGTGCTGTTAGCGAGCAGCAGCGCCTGTGAAGGCCGGCACGGCACACGAGGGGGTGGGTGGTCAGCACCACGCCTGAACGCCTTTGTCTCACGAATGGTGAAGTTTACACACCGCTACACCAGGTACTCATTTGAGGCTGAGTCGAACTCGGGGAGGCCCAAAACCGGTTCAGATAATCGTCACCGGTGTTGGCCGTGAGCGGGAATCGAACTCGGGTTGCCGGGTCCGTAGCTCAGCGCTCTAACCGCTACACCACTGCTCGCCACCACCACAACTGTCACCACCACCACCACCGTCACCACCACCACCGTCACCACCACCACTGTCAACACCACAACCACCACCGTCACCACCACCACTGTCACCACCACTGTCACCACCACTGTCACCACCACTGTCACCACCACTGTCACCACCACCACTGTCACCACCACCACCGCTCGCCACCACCACCGCTCGCCACCAACACCACTGTCACCACCACCACCGCCACCACCACCATTGTCACCACCACCACTGTCACCGCCGCCACCACCACCGCTCACTTCTCCGCCACGCAGGTCCGGCCGCTTCTCCACCGAGCACTCGTCGCGCGCCGCCTTCTACCGCCACGCCCTGTCCTCGCTGCCGTGCCGGCTCGTCACGCCGGACGCCTCCGTGTACCGCGACTCGGCTCCCCGCCTCTTCCGCCTCCTCCCCTCCTCCGGCTCCGCCGCCCCAGCGTCGCCGGGCTTTGCCGACGGCTGGGCCGCGCCGCGCTACTGCCTGACGGCGGCGGGCCAGCTGGCCGTGGCGAGGGTCCTGCGCGCCGTCGAGCTGCACTTCCCGGACGTGACGTTCTGCCCGGCGCTGCCGGCCACCGTGGCGCTGCTGGCGCACTACTCGCGCTCTGAGGCCGAGCTGTTCGCCGGCGCCGCCAGGATCCTGGCGCACGGCGGAAGGGCGGCCGACGAGGTGGGCGAGGTGGAGCTCCCGGCGGGGCGGTGGTGGTGTGACGGGCGGTCGCTTGTGCCGCTGAGTGACGCGAGTACTGCGGCTTGTGCCGTTTGCATTTCGGCCGCTTGTGTTGTGGTTATTGCAAACGTGATGCCTTACATCATCCGCACCTAGTTTACACAACAAAGGCTCGTTCCTAGCAGCGTGCTTCAGCCGCACCGAACCTCAGAAAAATAATATCCAGTGCCTACCTTGGCTCCTCCCACCCTCAACCAGTATATAGAAAAACACGGTTTTCTTGGAATTTCTCTCACTTGATACGGCAATCGTGCTGTGACGATTATCTGAAAATGAAATTTCTCTCACTTGATACAGCAATCGTGCTGTGACGGTTCCACCTGAAGACGGAAGCTTGTGTTGCCTCCGAAACGTCGTGATTTTTATTTTATTTTTATTTTACTTTTATTAATTTTAATTTTTTACCTACGTCACTTTACCGAAAAAACCTAAGAATATGAATCATTGCAGTCACGAAAGCTTCAAATCTAGAATTGTATAAAGGTGTCAGTTTTTGTACCAGTTGAAAGGGTAAAAACCTATTACTATATTTTGCCACTGGTAAAGGAGGTCTCATAGTGTAAATGCTTACCCCGAGCTCTCAATACTCTGATAGTGCGCTGTGTTTGAGTTGTACGCCTTCTGGTGTCATCTGGTCCAACACCATGTTCAAGTTCAAGTTCATTTATTAGGTATAGCCCTGTGAGCCATTCAGCTCTTGAATCGGGTGCAACCGCAACAAACAAAAAACAAAAACATGAACAAAAAACATCTTAAAGTGAATATGTGACTAAGTGCAAACAGAAAATTCAAGAAAAGACAGCAAAAATATTGCAGAAAAAACACCGTACACCAACGCTGTGTGCAAAAATCCCAGTGGGATGCAAGTCAAACAACAACAACCACAAGACAGCTTCGATTAAGGCCATCAGTCTAACTCTGTACTACAACAAACAAACATGGCTAAACCAATACACTTTTCGAAATCACCAAAATAAAGCCATGAAAGCAATGAAAAAGCAACCATAGGAACTGTGACGGAATTTTCACAATAAATGGCATAAACAACATCTACTACCAAAACCCTGCAGCCATAGCTGGCTGCATGAGTCACTCCACAACAGCAGGAGCATCAATCGGAGTATTGTAATTTTTCAATGCACCTTTAAGATCAGCACACTAAATCAAAACACAGGTCATACTTTGTAGCGATCATCCGGAGCGAAACATTTAATTTTAGGTCACTGAATAGCACTGGCAGCTAGGGGTGTACAACTCCTCTAGAGCAGTTTTGAGTGAAGATCTCATAGGTAGTGACTCAAGTTTCAATTTATTTGCAACAGCATTCCAGACCCTGGGGGCATCAATAGCAAAGGCCCTTCCTCCAGTATATGTACGGCAATAGGGAATATTAAGCTGGTAAATGAGTGTAGACCTTAGGTCAAATTTGTTCTTTGAAACAGAGACGAGATTCAGCAGGTAATCTGCAGATTTTTTTGCAAGTACATCATGAATAAATAAGATCTGGTGCACAAGCCGTCGAACATTCAGAGATGTTAAGTTTGACCCAATGTAGAGATCACAGTGGTGAGTCCTATATGGGCAGTTCAATGCAAATCTAAAGGCCGAGTGATACATTGAGTCAAGCTTCTTCAGTACAGTACTTGGGGCTGATTTATACACAATGTCACAGTAATCAAGTAGAGGCAGTACGGTAGCTTTAATCAATTCCAAACGGAACATAGGAGGGAAGCAGTGCGTGTGTCGATATAGAAAACCAATTTTAATTTTTGTCTTTTTCCCAATATAATCAATGTGATCTTCAAAATTCAGTTTTGAATCCAGGATGACCCCAAGATACTTATAGATCTTGACTTGCTCTATTTGATCATTATTTAAGGAATGTAATTGGGGGAAAATAACTTCCCGCTTTAGTCCTGGTGAGAAGCATAGCACCTTGGTTTTGGCAGGATTTAGGACTAGTTTAAGAGCAACTAGCTGATGTTGTAGTTTGTTGAAATCACTCTGGAGCTTAGCAATCACGTCATCCGGAGAGCGGCCAGCAGTAATTAGTACCGTGTCATCTGCAAAAAGATTTACCCTGGAATAATCCAGTTCAGTGCCCAAGTCATTTACATAAAGAGAGAACAAGAGGGGGCCGAGAATGGAACCCTGTGGAACCCCTTTTGTTATCTTAACACTGTTTGACCTCCAACCCTCTGTGAATACAGTTTGGGTGCGAGAAAAGAGGTAATTTTTTAACCATTTTACTGTGTTTTCGGAAAAACCGAGGCAACTTATTTTACTAAGCAGGATGTTGTGGTCTACTGTATCAAAAGCTTTGGACAAGTCAAGAAAAAGACAGGCGCAGTACTGCTTATTATCAAGGCTACTGTAAATGTGATTCAGAGAGTCTAATGCAGCAGATGTGGTGCTGTATTTTTTTCGAAACCCAGATTGTTTTAGATGTAATAGATTGTTGGCGGACAGGAAACTGCTAATTTGGTAGGTCAATAATTTTTCAAAAATTTTCATCAACGGGGACAAAATTGAGATAGGTCGGTAGTTATTTGGATCATCTTTAGGGCCCTCTTTGTGAAGTGGACGAACATAGGAATGTTTCCATTCTAGAGGAACTGATGCTTCTTTGATGGACAGGTTGAAAATATGGGCTATAGGTTTGTATATTAGGTGACCAACACTTAGTAGAGCAAAGACGGGAATACTATCTGCTCCGGTAGAGGAGGACCCTTTGAGGTAGGACAGTTGTTTCAGAACATTACTTTCGTGGATTGGCTGAAAACTAAATTCGCTTAATGTTTGGATAGGGGTGTAGGAATTTGCATGAGCAGGGGTGACTCCCAATACATTATCAAATAGGGTACCAGCTTCAGAAAAATGAAGGTTAAAATTGTCAACTATTTTTGGGGATCTGAAAAATATTCCCCATTTCGGTTAAGCTGAACGGGCAGATGATCTGTTTTGGATGCCTTTTCGATACATTTGATTGTTTTCCAGAAAATCCTGGCATTTCCATGAGATTCAAGGAGAGTGGAAGAGAAGTAGTTATTTTTTGCATGTCGTATTTTTTTGACGCATCTATTCCTTAAAATCCTGTATTCTAGCCAGTCATTGACCAAATTACTTTTCTGAGCACATGCCCAAGCCTTGTCCCTAGTTTTCATGAGCTTTGTAATCAAAGGATCAAACCATGGTGGACGGTTGCCTTTAGTTTTAAATTTAACCAACGGAGCATGTTTGTTAAGAATTTGGAGAAACGTGTACCTGAAGATCTCCCAAGCCGTAGTCAGGTTTTGAATATCACAGACCTTGTCAATATCCGAGTGAAGCACATCATTAGTAAATGCCTGAGTGCTGAAGTGTCTCATGGAGTGCTTCTCAACCAATTTAGGGGGGGCTTTGGGTCTGGCTGATGATCTCACCCCAAAAATGAAGGAGTGATCACTAAGGTTATTACCTAGAACACCAGTCAGTGCGAAATTGTGAGGGGCATTTGTCAATAGGACGTCAAGCAGAGATGACTGTCCCGGATTTTTTAGGTTGGGTCTTGTGGGGACATTTATTAATTGAAACAGGTTAAATTCATCTGCAAAATTTGTGGCCACGGCCGGCGGGTTTAGCCAATTCCAATTTAGATCACCCACTAAAACTATTTCACCTTTAGGGAGGCCCCCATGTGAGACTAGGCTCTAAGAAAAGCCGTCTCGGGTGTGGACCAATCAACTTCAAGGACCGTGCATATCATCAGAGTTGTTTCTTTTTGTTTGCATTTTGACTGCTTGTGTTGTGGTTATTGCAAACATGATGCCTTGTATAAAGGTGTCAGTTTTTGTACCAGTTGAAAGGGTAAAAACCTATTACTAAAACAAATTTTTTTTATAAACTATTTCTATTTTAGCAGGTAAGGCCCTCTTTGAGAAGTGACCTGGCCACAAATGATAGCTCAACTACGGGGCTTAGCGTGTAGAAATCTGTACCAGCCAAATACTCTAAATGCATGTTACTAAATGTGGATGGAAAAACCGGAGGACCCGGAGAAAAAATCCAGAGAGAGAGACACGCAAACTCCAAATATACAGCAGCAGGCGTCGGGGTCGGGATCGAACCCACGACCTCCTGCATACCAGGCGAGGTAGTTAACATCTCCTAGCCACCGTGATGATGATGAGAGAGAGACACGCAAACTCCAACTATACAGCAGCAGGCGTCGGGGTCGGGATCGAACCCACGACCTCCTGTATACCAGGCGAGGTCGTTAACATGTCCTAGCCACCGTGATGATGATGAGAGAGAGACACACAAACTCCAAATATACAGCAGCAGGCGTCGGGGTCGGGATCGAACCCACGACCTCCTGTATACCAGGCGAGGTTGTTGACATCTCTTAGCCACCGTGATGATGATGAGAGAGAGACACGCAAACTCCAAATATACAGCAGGCGTCGGGGTCGGGATCGAACCCACGACCTCCTGTATACCAGGCGAGGTTGTTGACATCTCTTAGCCACCGTGATGATGATGAGAGAGAGACACGCGAACTCCAAATATACAGCAGGCGTCGGGGTCGGGATCGAACCCACGACCTCCTGTACACCAGGCGAGGTAGTTAACATCTCGTTACTCTAGCACCCTTAAAGAGTAGTTTAAATAGTTTACTGATTCTGCTACTGCTGCTGCTGTTGTTGCTGTTATAGAAGCAGGCGCCACGCCTCCACCTCCTGGACCAGACGTTCCTGGGCTTCGAGGCATCCTGCATGACCTTTGGCGACCTCGCTGCCAAGTACTGCCCCAGCGCCCACCGCATCATCGTCTCCCGTGAGCAGGACGTGCTGCAGGTGGGGACCGGCCCTCACCTCAGTCTGCTTTCGACGTACACCGTGTCTCGTTCAGCAGTTCATCTCTGTGGATCATACACGATGTGGTCTGTGCGTCGGTGTGTCTTTGTTACGCTTTATTTTTCTGTGTGTGTGTGTGTTGTGAGTAGGTGTACAGCATATGCCTGTTCTGTGTGTGTGTGTTGTGAGTAGGTGTACAGCGTCTGCCTGTTCTGTGTGTGTGTGTGTGCTGTGAGTAGGTGTACAGCGTCTGCCTGTTCTGTGTGTGTGTGTGTGTTGTGAGTAGGTGTACAGCGTCTGCCTGTTCTGTGTGTGTGTGTGCTGTGAGTAGGTGTACAGCGTCTGCCTGTTCTGTGTGTGTGTGCTGTGAGTAGGTGTACAGTGTCTGCCTGTTCTGTGTGTGTGTGTGTTGTGAGTAGGTGTACAGCGTCTGCCTGTTCTGTGTGTGTGTGCTGTGAGTAGGTGTACAGCGTCTGCCTGTTCTGTGTGTGTGTGTGCTGTGAGTAGGTGTACAGCGTCTGCCTGTTCTGTGTGTGTGTGTGCGCTGTGAGTAGGTGTACAGCGTCTGCCTGTTCTGTGTGTGTGTGTGCTGTGAGTAGGTGTACAGCGTCTGCCTGTTCTGTGTGTGTGTGTGCTGTGAGTAGGTGTACAGCGTCTGCCTGTTCTGTGTGTGTGTGTTGTGAGTAGGTGTACAGCGTCTGCCTGTTCTGTGTGTGTGTGTTGTGAGTAGGTGTACAGCGTCTGCCTGTTCTGTGTGTGTGTGCTGTGAGTAGGTGTACAGCGTCTGCCTGTTCTGTGTGTGTGTGTGCTGTGAGTAGGTGTACAGCGTCTGCCTGTTCTGTGTGTGTGTGTGCGCTGTGAGTAGGTGTACAGCGTCTGCCTGTTCTGTGTGTGTGTGTGCTGTGAGTAGGTGTACAGCGTCTGCCTGTTCTGTGTGTGTGTGTTGTGAGTAGGTGTACAGCGTCTGCCTGTTCTGTGTGTGTGTGTTGTGAGTAGGTGTACAGCGTCTGCCTGTTCTGTGTGTGTGTGCTGTGAGTAGGTGTACAGCGTCTGCCTGTTCTGTGTGTGTGTGTGCTGTGAGTAGGTGTACAGCGTCTGCCTGTTCTGTGTGTGTATGTGCGCTGTGAGTAGGTGTACAGCGGCTGGCTACGCTGGCTGTTTGAGGACCTGCCCTTTGAGTTTGCCGTGCGCGTGTTCGACTGCTTCCTGCTGGAGGGACACAAGGTGCTCTACCGCGCGGCGCTCGCTCTCCTCAAGCTGTTCAAAAGCAGCGTGAAGAAACGGGCGCTCACAAACAGCCCCGGCCCCACCAGCCAGGACGGTGTGGCCCGACTTTCGTTAACACCACATCTCATCATCGAGTCTCAACACCCACTCCGAGTCTCAACACCCACGCTGAGTCTCAACACCCACGCTGAGTCTAAAGTCTAAACACCTACGCCGAGTCTAAACACAATTACAATATGATGATTGGTTATTTACCCTTCTATCTGGCAACAAAACTGACACCTTTTTTTACAAGGAGTCATGTTTGCATAGACCGCAATACCTGCAGTCATAATGCAAGCAAAAAACACAACTCTGATAATGATATGCACTGTCCTTGAAGTTGATTGGTCCACACCCGAGACAGCTTTCCTTAGAGCCTAGTCTCACATGGTGTTGGACCAGATGACGCCAAAAGGCGCACAACTCAAAGACAATGCACCATCAGAGTATGAGAGCTCGGGGTAAGCATTTGCACCATTGGAACCCGTCCGCCTAAAATCGTCACCCTGCTGCTGCCGCTGCTCTATGTGAGACCGGGAGCCAGAGCAGAGCCTCACCATTCTGGCGAATTGCCCGATGATGCTGGATGCAATTGCCAGCGAACGTCGTACTACAAAAATTGTAAATGTTGTGGTTTCACGCTTCAACACACCGGTGTGGGGCTAAAGCAGTGAACTATTTTGTCTTTTGTCAACGTGACACTTTTTTTGCTGATTGGCCGTGTCGGGTGGTGGAGGGTTACGACACATTTGTAAATAACTCGATCTCACCCAATCACGTTGATTATGAATCGACACCCACGGCGAGTCTAAAGTCTAAACACCCACGCCGAGCCGTGCGCCGTGCTGGCCTTCATCGGTGCCGGATAACAGCACTTGTCCCTAAAGTCTGTGGAGGCTCTCTGGGGGATCTTTGTGTATAGCTCTGTCAGTGTTGGTGTGCGGTGCTTTTTCTGCAATATTTTGCCGTCTTTTCTTGGATTTTCTGTTTGCACTCGGTCACATATTCACTTTAAGATGTTTTCTTGTTCATGTTTTTGTTTTTTGTTTGTTGCGGTTGCACCCGATTCAAGAGCCGAATGGCTCACAGGGCTATACCTAATACATAAACTTGTCTCTGTCTCTCTGCAATCTCTGTCTCGTTCTGTGTCTCTGTCCCTCTGTCTCTCTGTGTCTCTCTGTCCCTCTGTGTCTCTGTCCCTCTGTCTCTCTGTGTCTCTCTCTGTCTGTCCCTCTGCGTGCAGGAGTGTGTGGCGAGATCCGGTCGTTTGCCCGCTCGCTCTCTCTGCACGTGTCCCCCACGCGGCTGTTGGACCGCGGCTTCCGCGTGCGTCTGCTGTCGCGCCGGGAGATCTCCCTGCTGCGGCTGGCCAACGAGAGCGCCCTGCAGGCGGCAGGGATCTCGCGCGTGCAGCGCAGGTGCTCACACGCACATACACATACACGCACGCACACGCACGCACACGCACGCACACACATACACGTACGCACAGACACGCACGCACACGCACGCACACTCACGCGCGCACACACACGCACGCACATACACACACGCGCGCACGCACGCACGCGGACGCACACACATACACGTACGCACACACACGCACACACGTACGTACACACATGCACACACACACATACCCACACACGCACACACACGCACACACACGCACACACATACACACACGCACGCATACACGCATACACACGCATACACACGCACATACACACGCGCAGACACGCACACACACAATCATACACGCACACACACAATCATACACACACACGCACGCACACATACGCACACACACACATACACACGCGCACGCACACATACACACGCGCACGCACACAAACACACATACACACGCGCACGTACACACGCGCACGCACGTGCACGCACGTGCACGCACACGCACACACGCATACACGCGCACGCACGCATACACACACGCATACACACGCACACACGTACACACGCGCACACGCTCTCACGCAACAGCCGCCACCCGCCACTGAGTGGCGGTGACGTCACCACGGCGCTCGTGCCAGGCCAGGTGCACTCCGAGGCTGTAGCGTGAAGTGTCAAAGGCTCGCTGGCAGGAGGTCACGGGACACACCCGGGTGCCGTGGGTTGACTGGCAGAGGCATCATCACCTGTGCACCCTACTGTGCCAACACGCACTTGCCCGTATACACTGGTACCTCGGTATACGTCGTTAATTTGTTCCAGGAGGGGTAGTAGGACTTATACCGAAAATGACGGACAGCAAACGCATTTTTCCCATAAGAAATAAATTGAAAGGAAATAATCCGTTCTAGAGTATAAGAAATGATATTTTATATGGCATATTATACATTAATGGGGTTGTATGAAATAATGTAGACACTACTTATTATTAGAATGCATGCATAAATTATAATAAATGCAAACATTAATTAAAATAAATTGAAATAAAAGTCAAATTTAACGTCGCTTTACCTTGCTGAGAGGATCTTCTTGGTTCTTTCGGTAAAAATAAAACATAATAAAATATATTATTTTATAAAGTTTTATTTTTATTATTTTATTATTTCCATTCTACGTGACTTTAATATTTTACAATGTTTTATTTTTATTATTTTATTATTTCCCTTCTACGTGACTTTACCGAATGAACCAAGAAGATGAATCCCTGCAGTCACGAAAGCTTTAAATCTAAATTTGCCGAGAGGAGTTTATAGCCTATGAGGATGGTGGTGAGGAAGAGGAGGAGGAGGTATTTTTTGGAAGGAGAGTCCCCTTCCATTAAGACTTCAGGAAGCTGAAATCCTGGGCTTTTTTCTCTTTTCTGTCTTTTTATTCTTGACATGGACCTGGTTGAGGCTCATCATCATCATTTCTATTATACAAATTATAAATAATAATTTTACAGCCCTTTGTCAGTCCATTGCTGAATGAGGATGCCTACATGCCCTATCAGTTATCGGGGTTGTTTGATCATACTTCACCATGCCGGTCAATGTTGTTTGGTGAAGGGGGGGGGCATAGAGGCAAGGGAGTATAGCACAACAGTGGATCTTGTTGCATTGTACCGCTCAGAGCCAACGTTGCCTTACCGCTACCAACCTTGCGGCCCCGCAGCCTATAACGCCTGGTGAGCATGGTGGTCGCACATCCGAGCACCGCACAGGTTCATTCTCTGCTTAGCGTCCGAGGTCCGACGCGTTCGAACACATTGACCTCTGAACTGGTCGTAGAGTCGTGTGCGTGTGTGTCGTGCACTCTACACTTTGCGTGCAGTCGTAGAGTCGTGTGTGTCGTGTGCTCTGTACACTTTGTGTGCAGTCGTAGAGTCGTGTGTGTCGTGTGCTCTGTACACTTTGCGTGCAGTCGTAGAGTCGTGTGTGTCGTGTGCTCTGTACACTTTGTGTGCAGTCGTAGAGTCGTGTGTGTCGTGCGCTCTGTACACTTTGTGTGCAGTCGTAGAGTCGTGTGTGTCGTGTGCTCTACACTTTGCGTGCAGTCGTAGAGTCGTGTGTGTCGTGTGCTCTGTACACTTTATGTGCAGTCGTAGAGTCGTGTGTGTCGTGCGCTCTGTACACTTTGCGTGCAGTCGTAGAGTCGTGTGTGTCGTGCGCTCTACACTTTGCGTGCAGTCGTAGAGTCGTGTGTATCGTGCGCTCTACACTTTGCGTGCAGTCGTAGAGTCGTGTGTGTCGTGTGTTCTGTACACTTTGTGTGCAGTCGTAGAGTCGTGTGTGTCGTGTGCTCTGTACACTTTGTGTGCAGTCGTAGAGTCGTGTGTGTCGTGCGTTCTGTACACTTTGTGTGCAGTCGTAGAGTCGTGTGTGTCGTGTGCTCTGTACACTTTGTGTGCAGTCGTAGAGTCGTGTGTATCGTGCGCTCTACACTTTGCGTGCAGTCGTAGAGTCGTGTGTGTCGTGTGCTCTGTACACTTTGTGTGCAGTCGTAGAGTCGTGTGTATCGTGCGCTCTACACTTTGCGTGCAGTCGTAGAGTCGTGTGTGTCGTGTGCTCTGTACACTTTGTGTGCAGTCGTAGAGTCGTGTGTATCGTGCGCTCTACACTTTGCGTGCAGTTCGGCTTCGACGAATGAATCTCTTGTCTTCTCGACTGTTGTCTTTCCCTCTGCGCAACCGACTGCTTTTCTCCCGATCTTTACAAGCCCTCACAAGCAAAAGTAAGATTTCTGTTCGTTCGGAGTTTCCGATGATTTGCAATCCTGCGTTGTTGGTACTGCCGCTACTAAGTTTGAGCGTCGGACTGCCACCACTGCTGCTGTTACACTGGTCAACACACTTTTTCTGGCGTAAGGTATTCCAACGGTTTTAAGGTAATTTTGGGGTGCTGATTCCAAATCTGGCATCAGTTTTTGTCTATCACATCAGGTTTTTGAGATATCAAATATTGCATTTTCAATAAAAACTGCAGAAGAAAAATATTAAATAAATGTGGATATCTACATAAAATGACATTGTAAACACACTATCCTAAAAATACAGCACCATATTTTAACACTAAAGCAGTCACTGACTCGCAACAACTTGCAATCATAAGTGACAGAGTTAATTTCGGGTAAAATCAATGAAAATGGGGTATGCCGATAGCATAAAAATTAACCCGTAAAAACAAAGTTTTTCATTATAAATCCTTTATATGCGTGGTGGCTAGAGTCCTCTCGTCCTCTGGCTTGAGATGGCTGCCACCTATGGGTCAGATGAATGGTTTGCACCATTAAGCAATTGGTAATTAAATATAATTTCTTTTTTCACGAAAATAAATTGTCACGCACAACGAGTCTGTGTGCAAAATGTCAGCTCGATTGGATCACGGGAAGTGGGTTAAAAAACGACCGAAAGATTTGCACGGTCGTAAGCAAGCAAGCAAGCGAACTTAATATAAAGGATTTAAAAATTTGATGTGTTAGAGCAAATCTGAGATCAGATTTGGAATCGGCACCCTGAAATTAGTCTAGAACAGCTGCAAAAGTCCAGGCCAGAAAAAAATGTTTTTTTTGTTGTTGACCAGTGGTTATCGCTGCAATTGCTGCTGCTGACTTTCTTATTGAAACTACGGCCGCTGACACTGATGTTACGCCTGCTACAATTCCTCTCTGCTACTGTTCCTGACTCGTTGTGGCTGGAACTAACCTCGTCTTGACTAGCGCTGCAACCTTTGCTGCTCTTGGTACTGAAGCTCGCACTAACACTGCTACGTACGGCGACTGTTACTTCCGCTACCGACACTGCCACTGTTTTATTGTCACTGCTAGTAATGAAAAATACCTTAACAGCAAGAAAACATCTAAAAAATTAACCCGTAAAAACTAAGTTTTTCACTATAAATCCTTTATATGCGTGGCGGCTAGAGTCCTCTCGTCCTCTGGCTTGAGTTGGCTGCCACCTTTGGGTCAGATGAATGGCTGCCACCATTAAGCAATTGGTAATTAAATATAATTTATTTTTTCCTAAAAAGTGTAAAATTTTGGAATTTTTTTTCACGAAAATTAATTGTCACGCACAACGAGTCTGTGTGCAAAATGTCAGCTCGATTGGATCACGGGAAGTGGGTTAAAAAACGACCGAAAGATTTGCACGGCCGCAAGCAAGCAAGCAAGTGAACTTAATATAAAGGATTTAAAAACAGGTGAGTTTTACACGTTGCTTTTCGCGACCAATACTATCTGTAATATCTAAGTGTGTCGTTAAACCCGCCACCACTCCACACGGCCAATTCGTGAGGTTTGTCACGTTAACAGAATGTGACAATTCGTTACGAGTACAGCACTAGTGTATAGTGTAGTGTGTAGTATTATAGTGTAGTGTATAGTATTATAGTGTAGTGTATAGTATTATAGTGTAGTGTATAGTATAGTGTAGTGTATAGCAGAGGTGTGGACTCGAGTCATGTGACTTGGACTCGAGTCAGACTCGAGTCATGAATTTGATGACTTCAGACTCGACTTGGACTTGCATAACAATGACTTTGTCCCACCTCTGAGGTGTGGACTCGAGTCATGTGACTTGGACTCGAGTCAGACTCGAGTCATGAATTTGATGACTTCAGACTCGACTTGGACTTGCATAACAATGACTTTGTCCCACCTCTGGTGTATAGTATTATAGTGTAGTGTATAGTATTATAGTGTAGTGTATAGTATAGTGTAGTGTATAGTGTAGTGTATAGTGCAGTGTATAGTATAGTGTAGTGTATAGTATAGTAGTGTATAGTGTAGTGTTGTGTATATTGTAGTGTATAGTGTAGTGTATAGTGTAGTGTGTAGTGTAGTGTGTAGTGTATAGTAGTGTAGTGTATAGTAGTATAGTGTATAGTAATTATGGAGCTTTCGTGACTGCAGGAATTATTCTTTGGTTCTTTCGGTTAAGTCACGTCTAAAGATAAAATAATAAATTAAAATAAAAGCATATTACGGCGTTTCGATTGCAACACAAGCAATCATCATCAGGTAAAAAAGAAAGAAAAAGCAACAAAAATCTAACTAGAAAACTATAGACAGACATACAAGCAGACAGACATCACAAGGACACACAGAGAGAGGACACATATCGGCACAAAGACAGGGGTCGTTTCTGTGACGGTCCCTTAAATATAGAGAGGGGGCAAGGACGGAGAGAGGGAGGGGGCAGAGAAAATTAGCCGTCCTTGCCCCCTCTCTATATTTAAGGGACCGTCACAGAAACGACCCCTGTCTTTGTGCCGATGTGTCCTCTCTCTGTGTGTCCTTGTGATGTCTGTCTGCTTGTATGTCTGTCTATAGTTTTCTAGTTAGATTTTTGTTGCTTTTTATTTCTTTTTTACCTGATGATGATTGCTTGTGTTGCAATCGAAACGTCGTAATATGCTTTTATTTTAATTTATTATTTTATCTTTAGACGTGACTTAACCGAAAGAACCAAAGAATAGTGTATAGTAGTGTAGTGTATAGTAGTGTAGTGTATAGTATAGTAGTGTGTAGTGTATAGTGTAGTGTGTAGTGCAGTGTATAGTATGTATAGTGTAGTGTATAGTGCAGTGTATAGTGTAGTGTATAGTGTGTATAGTGCAGTGTATAGTGTGTATAGTGCAGTGTATAGTGCAGTGTATAGTGCAGTGTATAGTGTAGTGTATAGTGTGTATAGTGCAGTGTATAGTGTGTATAGTGCAGTGTATAGTGTGTATAGTGCAGTGTATAGTGCAGTGTATAGTGTAGTATACTAGTACAGCACACCGGTGTGTTGGAAAGCAAATCCACAACGTTTACGATTTGAGTATCATGACGTTTCGCTGGTGATTACGCAAGCCTACCACCTATTAAACCGACTGCCGATGCCGCCGCCTGCTGCTGATGCACCATCGCTTGTGTTGCCGTGACGTTCCAACCCCGTGGCTGCCCCATTCACTGCACACCTGTGCGTGTAACAAAAGCGCTTCGTAGCTCTTCTGATTCCAACGATTCTGATCGATTTGCGATGCCGCCCGCAGGCGGAGCGTGCAGCTCTCCGTGGACCTGAGCGCGGTGCACTCGGACGTGGTGTCCGCCCAGCAGATGCACGCCGTGTGGTCGTGGATCCCGGAGAGATTCACGCTGACGCGCCCGCTGCTGCTGTTCACCACGGCGGAGCACGGGTACAGCCTCAGCAGGTCGGTGGGGCCGGCTCCGCCACGACGCTTCTGAAAGTGAATCGCTCTGCTGGGCTTTACCCGATGCGATGTAAAGCAAAAAGTGGATTTGCGTTCAGAGAATTGTTTACATATTCTGAGGTTTTTTCGGTAAAGTCACGTAGGTAAAAAATTAAAATTAATAAAAGAAAAATAAAATAAAAATCACGACGTTTCGGAGGCAACACAAGCCTCCGTCTTCAGGTGGAACCGTCACAGCCACGACAGCTGTATCAAGTAAATGAGAGATTACAAGAGCTACCACTCCGTATATATAATGGTTGAAGAGGGAAAGGGCCAAGTACGGCACACTTTTTATTAATATGGTAAGGTGTTTCTTGTATTGGTTGTTGTTACGTGTTGACGCTGTACCCCGACTGGACATCCGGATTCCTCCTGCAGTATGAGATAGGCATTCTGGTTCTGTCCATGATCAAGGTTTTTGGGTGAGATCGCGTCGGTATGAATGTGTCGTAACCCTCCACCGCCCGACTCGTGATGCTGGATGTAATTACCAGCGAAACGCCGTGCTACTCAGAAGATCGTTGTGGATTTATTCTCCAACACACCGGTGGGCTGAAGTGGTAACTAATAGGCCGTGTCGGGTGTTGGAGGGGTTACGACACATTTATACCGACGCGATCTCACCCACAAACCTTTATAATGAATATAATTGGTCGCGAAAGCCTGCTACGTGTCAAGCTGATTCTGATTCTGTGGTCACGTGAACGTAGACACGGCAAGATTATACTGGTAGGAACCTCCTGGTTACACCAGCCCACAGGAGATTATTGTGTCCGTCCGTCCATGCAGGGAGGGGCTGGGTGGGGAGGGGAGGGTGGGGAGGGGCTGGGTGGGGAGGGTGGGGCTGGGTGGGGAGGGGCTGGGTGGGGAGGGTGGGGAGGGGCTGGGTGGGGAGGAGATGGTGGGGAAGGGCTGGGTGGGGAGGTTGGGGAGGGGCTGGGTGGGGAGTGTGGGGAGGGGCTGGGTGGGGAGTGTGGGGAGGGGCTGGGTGGGGAGGGGCTGGGTGGGGAGGGTGGGGACAGGCTGGGTGGGGAGGGTGGGGAGGGGCTGGGTGGGGAGGGTGGGGAGGGGCTGGGTGGGGAGGGGCTGGGTGGGGAGGGGCTGGGTGGGGAGGGGCTGGGTGGGGAGGGTGGGGAGGGGCTGGGTAGGGAGGGGCTGGGTGGGGGGTGGGAGGGAGGGGTGGGGCTGGGTGGGGAGGGGCTGGTCACCCCGTGGTGCCCTTATAAAACTCAACGTTTAACCTACTCACGCCGGCTTGTGCCCGCCCTCAATCGGGCATATTTGCGGAATACACCACGCCGCCGTTGACCCTGCAGGCCATTGACTGAGCAACCCAACGTTCCTACCAGCTCCCTCTACAGGACAATGTGTTCCCTATCCCCTCACCCCCAATCCTCTATAGACTTTGACCGTCACGGCAACTCTGGTCATTGTCGCAGCAGCAGCAGCAGCAGAAGTTTTTGGCTTTGCCATCGAACAAGGACACCGGTCACCGCATTGTTGCGGCGCTTGCGGATGCGCTTCTGCGACCGTCTGGAACGTTCTTCCCTTCCGATGTTGCGAAGCCATTAGAGCCGTGCGCTTTTAAATCATCATCCAGATTGACAAACTCATCTCTTTAGAACTCCTTTTTGTGTTTAGCTTGTTGTCCTTACCCCGCGCCTCCGATTCGCACGGTTGGCTACGTGCGGTGCGAAAGACGTTCTACAGACAGACATTAAGAGGCTGTTGGGGCAAGTGTCGTTAGCGAGCATCTAATGCACACAAGGGGGTGGGTGTGTAGCCAGCACCACACCCAGCCGCATTTGTCTCCCAGGTGGTGGTGGTGGTGGTGGAGGGGGGGGGTAAATGTGTTCATGCTCTTCTTGGTTCTTTCGGTAAAGTCACGTAGAAGGGAAATAATAAAATAATAAAAATAAAACATAATAAAATAATTCTCACGACGTTTCGGCCACAACGCAAGCCGGCTACTTGCGTTGTGGCCGAAACGTCGTTAGAATGATTTTATTTTATTACTTCCCTTCTACGTGACTTTACCGAAAGAACCAAGAAGATGAATCCCTGCAGTCACGAAAGCTTTAAATCGAAATGTATTCATACTCTTTGGTTCTTTCGGTAAAGTCACGTAGGTAAAAAATACAATTAATTAAAAATGAAAAGAACTTTATTTAATACAATCACGACGTTTTGGAAGCAACACAAGCATCCGTCATCAGGTGTTGACTGCTCCAGCAAAATTACTGTTGCTTCCGAAACGTCGTGATTTGATTTAATTGAGTTGTTTTCATTTTTAATTTATTTTATTTTTTTGACCCATGTGACTTTACGGAAAATATCCAAAGAGTATGGATCCTTGCAGTCACGAAAACTTCAAATCTAGAATAAATGTTTTCATTTAAATATCAATGGATCACCACTACCTTTTAAGTTATTCATGGGGTAATCGACACACACACACACAATGTGTCTTTGCCGTGCGCAGGTTCTACACGCACTGCGATGGACACGAGCCGACCGTTCTACTCATCAAGACGACGGACGGCGAGGTCTGTTTGTGATCCGTGGTGCTCGCCGCCACCACAAAGTGTTGTCTCGACCAATAACACCGCACTAACACCGCATTAACACCACACTAACGCCGGGGGGGGGGGGGGGGGGGGCGGTGAAGGGGCGCGGGGTTGGAGCCCTGCGTTCCGGCTAGCCGGGACGTCTGCCTAGCCAGCGGTGTTTGGCTGGCCGTCGAACAAAGGCGGCGGTCGCTTTCAGGTGCGCTGCCGCGGCCGTCTGGAACGCTGCTCTTCCGATATCAGGGAGCGCACCAGGAGCCGAGCGCACCTTTGAATCGCCTTTTGCGTTCGGCTGTCCTACGTACGGTGCAAAAGAAGTTCAACATTCGTACACGATCGACGTGAAATGCAGCAACCCTGTGTGCTGCATACGTGAATGTATTTGTGCGAGTGTTTTAGCGCGTGCATCTCATTTGTATCTTTTTCATTTGCTACACAGCCGGATAATACGACAAGTCGCGAACCTTAAACACCCCGGTCGTTTATAAAAGTTGAAGGCGGTATAGTACTATAGCGATAGAGCAAGTGCTGAATCACTGAACCGGAATTGATAGCTTGAAAGCGTTTAGCGCGGGGCCTTTGAAAGTGCGGGGCCCGTAGCATTTGCTACTTTAGCTACTTGTATAATCCGTCACTGCCGCACGGGAGAGCTGCCTGTCGAACAGCGCTGAAAGTACACACATCCTATACAAGGTTGTCCCGCGTCCGGCCGCATCGGAGTGAATTCAAACCGCGTGACACAAGCAACATTTGGGCAGAAATAGCCGAGCCACATACACGGCGAGAAATCGCACAAACCGTAGCCGCACGTAGAGAGGGAAAAAGCTTTAATTCTAATGTACGTCGGTTCAACCCATCCACCTCCCACCACCCATCCCCCATCTCCACCACCCCTCCCCCATACTCCTCACACCCCCCCCCCCCACCCTGTATGTATGCGTGTTGAACTTCTTTTGCTCCGTACGTAGCCAACCGTGCTAATCGGAGGTGCGGGGGAAGGACAACAAACTAAACACAACAGCAACAACAACAGTTCTAAATAAATGAGTTCTCAATGTAGTATAGTAGTATAATGTAGTATAGAATATAGTATAGTGGTGTCGTGTATAGTGTACTGTGTAGTGTGTGTAGTGTATAGTATCGTAGTGTGTGTAGTGTATAGTATAGTAGTGTGTTGTGTATAGTGTACTGTGTAGTGTGTGTAGTGTATAGTATAGTAGTGTGTTGTGTATAGTGTACTGTGTAGTGTGTGTAGTGTATAGTATCGTAGTGTGTTGTGTATAGTGTACTGTGTAGAGTGTGTAGTGTATAGTATAGTAGTGTGTGTATAGTGTAGTGTGTGTAGTGTATAGTATAGTAGTGTGTTGTGTATAGTGTACTGTGTAGTGTGTGTAGTGTATAGTGTAGTGTGTGTAGTGTATAGTATAGTAGTGTGTTGTGTATAGTGTACTGTGTAGTGTGTGTAGTGTATAGTATCGTAGTGTGTTGTGTATAGTGTACTGTGTAGTGTGTGTAGTGTATAGTATAGTAGTGTGTTGTGTATAGTGTACTGTGTAGTGTGTGTAGTGTATAGTATAGTAGTGTGTTGTGTATAGTGGTCTGTGTAGTGTGTGTAGTGTATAGTATCGTAGTGTGTTGTGTAGTGTGTGTAGTGTATAGTATAGTAGTGTGTTGTGTATAGTGTACTGTGTAGTGTGTGTAGTGTATAGTATCGTAGTGTGTTGTGTATAGTAATTTATACGTATGTATGTTGAACATCTTTCGCACCAGATGTAGCCAACCGTGTTGATCGGTGGATGGCGAGAGGTGGTGGCTTGCAGGAAGCCTTCATCCAGCAGTGGATTGACCGTGGGTGACGATGCGATGTGTGCTTGTGTGTGTAGGTGTGTGGGGCGTTTCTCTCGTCGGACTGGGCTGAGAGGAGGAAAAGCAAAGGAACGATGAGTTTCTTTGGTACCGGGGAGTGTTTCGTGTTCAGAGTGAGTTCAGCTCTCACTCACTCACCCGCTCACTCGCCCGCTCACTCACTGAACCACCAACTCACTCACCCACTCACTCACTCACGCACCCGCTCACTCACTCACCCACCAACTCACTCACCCACTCACTCACCCAATCTCCCACACTCTCGCCCACCCACTCACTCACCCACCCACTCACTCACCCACCCACTCACTCACCCACTCACCCACCAACTCACTCACCCACCCACTCACTCACCAACTCACTCACTCACGCACCCGCTCACTCACCCGCTCATTCACTCACCCACCCACCCACGCACTCACCCACCCACTCACTCACCCACTCGCCCACCAACTCACTCACCCACCCACTCACTCACCAACTCACTCACTCACGCACCCGCTCACTCACCCGCTCATTCACTCACCCACCCACCCACGCACTCACCCACCCACTCACTCACCCACTCGCCCACCAACTCACTCACCCACCCACTCACTCACCAACTCACTCACTCACGCACCCGCTCACTCACCCGCTCATTCACTCACCCACCCACCCACGCACTCACCCACCCACTCACTCACCCACTCGCCCACCAACTCACTCACCCACCCACTCACTCACCAACTCACTCACTCACGCACCCGCTCACTCACCCGCTCATTCACTCACCCACCCACCCACGCACTCACCCACCCACTCACTCACCCACTCGCCCACCAACTCACTCACCCACCCACTCACTCACCAACTCACTCACTCACGCACCCGCTCACTCACCCGCTCATTCACTCACCCACCCACCCACGCACTCACCCACCCACTCACTCACCCACTCGCCCACCAACTCACTCACCCACCCACTCACTCACCAACTCACTCACTCACGCACCCGCTCACTCACCCGCTCATTCACTCACCCACCCACCCACGCACTCACCCACCCACTCACTCACCCACTCGCCCACCAACTCACTCACCCACCCACTCACTCACCAACTCACTCACTCACGCACCCGCTCACTCACCCGCTCATTCACTCACCCACCCACCCACGCACTCACCCACCCACTCACTCACCCACTCGCCCACCAACTCACTCACCCACCCACTCACTCACCAACTCACTCACTCACGCACCCGCTCACTCACCCGCTCATTCACTCACCCACCCACCCACGCACTCACCCACCCACTCACTCACCCACTCGCCCACCAACTCACTCACCCACCCACTCACTCACCAACTCACTCACTCACGCACCCGCTCACTCACCCGCTCATTCACTCACCCACCCACCCACGCACTCACCCACCCACTCACTCACCCACTCGCCCACCAACTCACTCACCCACCCACTCACTCACCAACTCACTCACTCACGCACCCGCTCACTCACCCGCTCATTCACTCACCCACCCACCCACGCACTCACCCACCCACTCACTCACTCTCTCATTCCCTCACTCACTCACTCACCCACTCACTCACCCGCTCACTCACTGAACCACCCACCCACTCTCTCACCCACCCACTCACCCACCCACTCACTCACCCCCTCACCCACTCACTCACCCACCCACCGACTCACTCACCCACTCGCTCACCCACCCACCCACTCACTCACCCCCTCACCCACTCACTCACCCGCTCACTCATTGAACCACCCACCCACTCACTCACCCACCCACCCATCCACCCACCCACCAACCCACCCACCCACTCATCCACTCACCCACCCACTCACCCACCCACTCACTCACCCACCCACCCACCCACCCACCCACCCACCCACCCACCCACCCACCCACCCACTCACTCACTCACCCACCCACCCACCCACTCACTCACCCACCCACTCACCCACCCACCCACTCACCCACCCACCCACTCACCCACTCACCCACCCACTCACTCACCCCCTCACCCACTCACCCCCTCACCCACTCACCCCCTCACCCACTCACCCACTCTCTCACTCACCCCCTCACCCACCCACCCACTCGCCCAATCTCCTACACTCTCGCCCACTCACTCGCCCACGAACTTAGAAGCTCGCTCAATCAATCTTACGCGCACTCTCTCTCTCTCGATCACTCAATTGTTCGCTCTCATTCATTGTCGGACTCCCCTTTTCTCATTCATCCACTCTGCCACTCAGTGCTTCAGCTCAGCCCATTGTTGTGAGTGTCGCTCCTCCACCCTCCTTTGTCGCCTGGAGGACGGCTGCCTCCACCAGCCCCACAGCATCCTTCACGAGCTGCATTGTACACACACATTTGTACACACACATTTGTACACACACATTTGTACACACACATTTGTACACACACATTTGTACACACACATTTGTACACACACACTCGGATAAAGATCCTGCCCTTTAGCCTTCACAGACTGTAGGGGCAAGTGCTGTTAGCGAGCGCCAATGAAGGCCGGCACGGCACACGAGGGGGTGGGTGGCCAGCACCACGCCCGGCCGCCTTTGTCTCCCCAGTGGCGATGTTTACGACGCAAAGCACTAGGTACTCATTTGAGGCCGAGTCCACCTAGGAGAGGTCCATGACCAGTTCGTACTACTATACACTACACTACTATACACTACGCTACTATACACTACACTACTGTACACTACACTATACACTACACTATACGCTACACTACTATACACTACACTACTATACAATACACAATACATTACACTACACTATACACTACACTGCTATACACTACACTGCTATACACTACACTACTATACACTACACTACTATACACTACACTACTATACACTACACTACTATACACTACACTGCTATACAATACACTGCTATACACTACACTGCTATACACTACACTACTATACACTACACTACTATACACTACACTACTATACACCACACTATACACTACACTATACGCTACACTACACTACTATACACTACACTATACACTACACTACTATACACTACACTATACGCTACACTACACTACTATACACTACACCACTATACATTACACTAATATACACTACACTATTATACACTACACTACTATGCACCACACTATACACTACACTACTATACACTACACTATACGCTACACTACACTACTATACACTACACCACTATACACTACACTACTATGCACCACACTATACACTACACTACTATACACTACTATACACCACACTACTATACACTACACTACTATACACTACACTACTATACACTACACTACTATACGCTACACTATACTACTATACACTACACTATACGCTACACTATACTACTATACACTACACTATACACTACACTATACACTACACTATACACTACACACTACACTATACAGTACACTATACACTACACTATACACTACACTATACAATACACTACTATACACTACACTACACACTACTATATACTACACTACTATACACTATACACTACACTATACACTACACTATACGCTACACTATACTACTAAACACTACACTATACACTACACCACTATACACTACTACACAACATTGAGAACTAATTTCTCTAGAACTTGTTGTTGTTGTTGTTTAGTTTCTTGTCCTTCCCCCGCACCTCCGATCAGCGCGTTGGCTACGTACGGGGAGCGTAAGACGTTCGCACGTAAATACATCCGCACACACTTGCACGCACTTGCACACGAGTCGGAGGGTAAATTCCACCTTCCCCACGCGGCAGCTGCACCCGGAGGTGGAACGCTACGAGTGGGTGGTGATCAGACACCCGGAGCTGGCGCAGGCGGAGGGAGCGAGCGACACGGGCGACGCGCCGGGCACCACCGTCGCCCCCTTGCCCCCTGCCGGGGTTGAAGAGCCGCGCTCGGATCGCCTGTCGCCCTTCCTCGCCACCAAACACTTCGGGCTGCCCAGCAAAACCGCGTCCATGTTCATGGCCGGGAATGCGGAGAGCATCATTATAGGTGAGTGTGTGGCGGGTGTTTGTGTGTGGGGTGTTTGTGTGGTGTGTGTGTGGCGGGTGTGTGTGTGTGGGGTGTGTGTGGTGTGTGTGTGGTGAGTGTGGTGTGTGTGCGGTGTGTGTGTGTGTGTGGCGTGTGTGTTGTGTGTGTGGTGTGTGTGTGTGGTGTGTGTGGGGTGTGTGTGTGGTGTGTGTGTTGTGTGTGTGGTGTGTGTCCGGTGTGTGTGGCGTGTGTGTTGTGTGTGTGGTGTGTGTGTGTGTGGTGTGTGTGTGTGTGGTGTGTGTGGGGTGTGTGTGTGGTGTGTGTGTGGCGTGTGTGGGGTGTGTGTGTGTTTGTGGTGTGGTGTGTGTGGGGTGTGTGTGGTGTGTGTGGTGTGTGTGGTGTGTGTGGTGTGTGTGGCGTGTGTGTGGTGTGTGTGTGTGGCGTGTGTGGGGTGTGTGTGTGGTGTGTGTGTGTTTGTGGTGTGGTGTGTGTGTGGTGTGTGTGTGGCGTGTGTGGGGTGTGTGTGTGGTGTGTGTGTGTTTGTGGTGTGGTGTGTGTGTGGTGTGTGTGGCGTGTGTGTTGTGTGTGTGGTGTGTGTGTTTGTGGGGTGTGTGTGGGGTGTGTGTGTTGTGTGTGTGGTGTGTGTGTGCGGTGTGTGTGCGGTGTGTGTGTGTGTGGCATGTGTGTGTGGTGTGTGTGTGTTTGTGTGGTGTGTGTGGTGTGTGTGGTGTGTGTGTGTTTGTGTGTGGAGTGTGTGGTGTGTGTGGGGTGTGTGTGTGTTTGTGGTGTGGTGTGTGTGGGGTGTGTGTGGTGTGTGTGGGGTGTGTGTGGTGTGTGTGTGGTGAGTGTGGTGTGTGTGGGGTGTGTGTGGTGAGTGTGGTGTGTGTGGGGTGTGTGTGGCGTGTGTGTGTGGTGTGTGTGTGGTGTGTGTGGTGTGTGTGTGGTGTGTGTGGTGTGTGTGGTGTGTATGGCGTCTGTGGTGTGTGTTTGTGGTGTGTGTGTTTGTGGTGTGTGTGTTTGCGGTGTGTGTGGGGTGTGTGTGTGTGTGTGTGGGGTGTGTGTGTGGGGTGTGTGTGGGGTGTGTGTGTGGTAGGTGTGTGTGGTAGGTGTGTGTGGCGTGTGTGTGTGGTGTGTTTGTGGTGTATGTGTGGTGTGTGATGTGTGTGGTGTGTGCGTGTGTGGTGTGTGTGTGGCATGTGTGTTTGTGGTGTGTGTGTTTGCGGTGTGTGTGGGGTGTAGGGTGTTTGTGGTGTGTGTGGTGTGTAGGGTGTTTGTGGTGTGTGTGTGTGGGGTGTGTGTGTGTGTGTGTGGGGTGTGTGTGGTGTGTGTGTGGGGTGTGTGTGTGGGGTGTGTGGGGTGTGTGTGTGGGGTGTGTGTGTGGGGTGTGTGGGGTGTGTGTGTGGGGTGTGTGTGTGGGGTGTGTGGGGTGTGTGGCGGGTGTGTGTGTGTGGCGTGTGTGGTGTGTGTGGGGTTTGTGTGGTGTGTGTGTGGGGTTTGTCTGGTGTGTGTTTGTGGTGTGTGTGCGGTGTGTTTCAGTTTCAGTTTAATTTATTAGGATTTATCCTGTGAGCCATTCGGCTCTTGATTTGGGTTCAACCGCAACAAACAATAAAATTACAAGATCCACCTACAATTCATTGTACACAAATCTGAACATCTCGTACGTAAACAATCAAATCCTGCTGCGTACAGAAAGTGCAAAAAATTCCATTTAGATGTTTGATCCCAATAACAATCATAATTCAATACAGATAAAAAATATAAATCTTTACTAAATGAAAAAAATCGGGCCAAACCACAAGACCCTCTAAAACTTAGTCGGTGGTGTAGTAGCGGTTAGCGCTGTGCTGCGCTACGGACCCGGCGACCCGAGTTCGATTCCCACTCACGGCGATTGCCAGTGACAATTATCTGAGCCGGTCCTGGGTCTCTCTTAGGTCGACTCGGCCTCAAATGAGTACCTGGTGCGGTGTGTAAACATCGCCATGAGGTGGCAGGGTGTGGTGCCTGCCACCCACCCCCCAGTGTGCTGTGCCGTCCTTCATAGGTGCTGCTACTCGCTAACAGCACTTGCCCAAACAGTCTGTTAAAGTATATATATATATATACTCTTGGTTCTTTCGGTAAAGTCACATAGGTAAAAAATGAAATTAAAATTAATAAAAATAAAATCACGACGTTTCGGAGGCAACACAAGTCTCCGTCATCAGGTGGGACCGTCACAGCCAGATTTGCTGCATCAAGTGAGGCAAGGATTCAAGATGCAAGCCCTTGCATCTTCGTCAGTCTGTTAAAGGCTATACGGGGGAGGGGGGGGGAATCTTTGTCTTTTTTATATCTGTGTTTGTATCTGAAAACATCTCTATGTATTTATTTGTCTGTGTGTGCGCGTCTGTGTGCATGCGTGTCTGTGTGTGTGTACGTGTCTGTGTGTGTGTACGTGTCTGTGTGTGTGTACGTGTCTCTGTGTGCGTGCGTGTCTGTGTGTGTGTACGTGTCTGTGTGTGTGTACGTGTCTCTGTGTGCGTGCGTGTCTCTGTGTTTGTGCGTGTCTCTGTGTTTGTGCGCAGGTGGCGGTGGCGGCCAGGCCCTCTACCTCGACTCCGAGCTGAACCACGGGCGCACGGCACCCTGCGACACTTTCGCCAACCCGCCGCTGTGCACGGAGACCTTTCAGGTGCAGATCCTGGAGGTCTGGGGCTTTGCCGAGAGTAGCCAATGACCTCCCCCCGCGAAAGCTTTCAACCACATCGCACTCCCACTTTTTTTTCCCCCACTGGCACACACCGGAGTCGGGCCTCCAACCCCCCCTCCCGGGGGGGGGTACATCACCTTCCCGTTTGTCGAGCTGAGCTCGTGAGCGACAGCCGGCTTCGCTGGATAATCCGAATCTGGCTTTGGGGCCAAGCAGGGCCAGGCGGCCGGGGTGACGGTGGATAGAGTTTGAACTGCGACGTCGGCGGCACGACTTCGGCTCTTGCGGTGGGAAAAAAGTATCTTGGCGCCTTCATCAATCGATCAATCGATCAATCGATCAATCGTGGCGTAGCCTGAGCACTCTTCTATCGCTGCTGCCACGGTTACCGCTCCCGGGAAGTTCGCTGATTGCTTTCTCTGCCCACGTTAAAGACTCGGTCTTCCAGACTGACTTTTGTCTCATCCACACTGTTCAACCACCACACTGCAGGTGACAACAACAACACACTCACCCATTCACCCACCCACTCGCCACACTGCAGGTCACAACAACAACACACTCATCCACTCACCCACCCACTCACCACACTGCAGGTGACAACAACAACACACTCACCCACCCACTCGCCCACTCACCCACTCGCCACACTGCAGGTCACAACAACAACACACTCACCCACTCACCCACCCACTCACCACACTGCAGGTGACAACAACAACACACTCACCCACTCACCTACCCACTCACCCACCCACTCACCACACTGCAGGTCACAACAACAACACACTCACCCACTCACCCACCCACTCACCCACCCACTCACCACACTGCAGGTGACAACAACACACTCACCCACTCACCTACCCACTCACCCACCCACTCACCACACTGCAGGTGACAACAACAACACACTCACCCATTCACCCACCACACTGCAGGTCACAACAACAACACACTCACCCATTCACCCACCCACTCACCACACTCCAGGTGACAACAACAACACACTCACCCATTCACCCACCACACTCACCACACTGCAGGTCACAACAACAACACACTCACCCATTCACCCACCACACTGCAGGTGACAACAACAACACACTCACCCATTCACCCACCCACTCGCCACACTGCAGGTGACAACAACACACTCACCCATTCACCCACCCACTCACCACACTCCAGGTGACAACAACAACACACTCACCCATTCACCCACCCACTCACCACACTCCAGGTGACAACAACAACACACTCACCCATTCACCCACCACACTCACCACACTGCAGGTCACAACAACAACACACTCACCCATTCACCCACCACACTGCAGGTGACAACAACAACACACTCACCCATTCACCCACCACACTGCAGGTGACAACAACACACTCACCCATTCACCCACCCACTCGCCACACTCCAGGTGACAACAACACACTCACCCATTCACCCACTCACTCACCACACTCCAGGTGACAACAACACACTCACCCACTCACCTACCCACTCACCACACTGCAGGTCGCAACAACACACTCACCCATTCACCCACTCACTCACCACACTCCAGGTGACAACAACACACTCACCCATTCACTCACCCACTCACTCACCCACTCACCACACTGCAGATCACAACAACACACTCACCCACTCACCCATTCACTCACCCACTCATCCACCCACTCGCCACACTGCAGGTCACAACAACACACCCACCCACTCACCCACTCGCCCACCCACTCGCCCACCCACTCGCCCACCCACTCGCCCACCCACTTGCCACACTGCAGGTCGCTTTTCACTTACCTCTCTGCTTCTTCTCTCACACTGCTCCACTTTGGATTCCTCCCCCACCCCCCCCCCCCCCCCGTCTCTTCCTCCGACTCCTTATAACTTTTCTCAATTCAAGAAACGCATTAACTTATTCATTCTCATCTGGTGTACGTTCACGAGTGCTGTACGCTGCAGTCCACCTCGCCTTTTGGGCCATTTGAGCCTCTGCTTGACAAATTTTTTTTTTCAGTTAAAGTAAAAAAAAAACTTTCAAGTGACTTTGAGATGTGCCACAATGTGACCCCCCCAGAGAAAAAGAAATGGTACATTCCAGAGTTCATACCCCAGGAATGTTCCATCCCTGTGAAGGGTGGGTACCATTACACGATGCATTGGGATACCTCTTAGCTTCCTGTATTTGTAACGTTTTTGTTTAAATTTCCGCGTGTAAACATTTACCCAATGTACCCATTTCACTGTCGCGATCTCCACAAGGCAGCTACTGTGTTACATGACATATCCGTGTTGGAGTTCGTTGAGTATTTTCTTTCTTAGAAGCCCAGTCACAGCAACTGCAGGGCAGAATTCCCTCTTCAAATATTGTCCGGGTCGCTGTGTGGCTGGCATGCGACAAATAAGAACATTTTTTATTTATTTTATTTTTTAACCAGGTAAAGCCCACCGAGCTACCTAGATTCTTTTTCAGAAGCGACCTGGCCACAAATATTAGCCCGACTAAGTGTTCTCGTCATCACGTGGAAATGTATAGCAGCCAAAATACTCTAAACGCTTGACGTTGATTCTAAATGTGGAGGGGAAAAGCGAAGGACGCAAACTCTAAATATTCAGGCGTCAGGGACGGGATGGAACCCACGACCTCCTGTATACCAGGCGAGGTAGTTAACATCTCCTAGCCACCGTGATGATGATGAGAGAGAGACGCAAACTCCAAATATACAGCAGGCGTGAGGGTCGGGATGGAACTCACGACCTCCTGTATACCAGGCGATGTAGTTCGCATCTCCGAGCCACCGTGGCGCCTTGTAGTAGTGACCACAGCCCACAGCGAGAGAGGACGACACGTCTCCCCCCGCTTCAAGCGGGCTCAGTTTGTGCAGTTTCGCGCGGTGTCTGCGACTAGGCTATTTCTACCCTACGCGGTTTGAATCCGCTCGTATGCGGCTACGCGTTCAGACGTCGGGCAACGTTGTGTGTGTGTGTGTGTGCACTCTGTGCGCTCCTTGGCGGGCAGCCGTCTCCTCGTGCGGTTTCTCTTCGTGCTTCCCGATTTTTCTGAATGCGTCCACCACAACTGCGGCGGCCACCGCATGGTGCGAGGAGATCCCTGTAGTGGGCGTCGTGTGTCGGGCGCGACCCGGACACACGCGTGTAAAGCCCCGCTTGTAATTCGCCCTCGCTTAGCGCGAGCTTAGCAGTCGGTTTCCGACGGCTTGAAGCGACCGTCGCTCGTTTGTTCTCTGCTTTTCCCACCGTCTGCAACTTCCTTGTCTCCACCCCCCCCCCCCAGTCGCCCGTGCTGTTGACTCCCTGCCAGAGGTCGCAAACGGGTTTTGATTCCTTACGCGTACCCGGCCGCACCAGGGTCGCAAACGGGTACCCGTACCCGGCCGGGTACGGGTAGCCGGGTATCGGGTAGGGTACGGGTATCGGGTGCCCGATTGCGACCTCTGCTCCCTGCCCCCTGTACAAGTGCAGGCTCTTAAACTTCTCCCCTGCCTCTGACCAACTCTCTCTCTATATATAAACTAAAACTCTCCCCACAGTTTCAGTACCGCGTCTTTGGGACACGTTCGCACTTAGATGGCATATGGATCCATGTATTTGGTTGTTCGGGTCTCGAAGGCGAGACGATGGGTCCTCTGGGGGTCTTGGCTCCCGAAGCGAGTCTCATGGCTCTCTGTTTCTGTACAGCATCTTGGAGACGTCGTCAAATCGAGAAGCTGTATAAAGCCGCGCCGTGTTGTTGTATTTATTGTTGTTGTTGATGAACCGGGTGAGAAGCTATTGGACAACCGGTCCCTTTGAGAGGAAGGGAGCGGGTAGTAACAGTGGTAATGTTCGTCAGTACAAAAACTTCGATATCGTTTCGGTGGTCCATCTTGTGCAACGCACCTCGGGTGCAGCTCTGCCCGGCATGGCTGCGTTCGAGGTGCAAGACACGTCAGACGGCCTGACGCTCGCTCACTCTGCAAACCGCCCCCTGCGCAATGTGGAATGCCATCTCGCGGTTGCGGTGAAAGGCCGCGGCGAAGGTGAGACGCCCAGTTGGACCGGGGTCTGTGGTGTGTCACCTTCATGCGTGACCTCATCAATATTGATGCAGAAGCATTATATATTTTCAACTCGGCTTAATGTCTTGCCATCATCTCCACGGCCTCGTGTGTCATCCCCCCTCCCTGGAATATGCGTAGGGGGTTTCGCCCGTCACTGTTAAAGCACTTTTTGTAAACCACAAAACAGTTTCGTGTATCCGACCCTCGCGCATCCGCACTTTTAACCGATGTATCTGCCCACGCTTGGTACGGTATTTGTTACAAGGTGGCGTTCAAGTTTACGAAAGTTTCAACTCTCTTTTGTTTCACCGGGTGAGAGAGAGCAAGAGAGCTAACTCTAGAGATCAGGATGAGTCTCGTTTGCAAAAGCGACCTCCTTCGTCAAAGTGACAAACGTATAACGATGAAGTAAACAGAAATCATACGAGCAATCGGAACACATTGCAGACGCAAATCGACACTCAAACGAAAGTTTAATACGTTTCCTGCCGTGCGAATCGGCTCGGGCAGATTAACCTCCGCAACGATCGTGGCACAGAGAAGAGGTCAAGGTTAAAACAACGAACTGTCATCTTCTTGGTTCTTTCGGTAAAGTCACGTAGAAGGGAAGTAACAAAATAATAAAAATTAAACATAATAAAATAATTATTTTATTACGTTTTATTAAAATAATAAAAAGAAAACACAATAAAATAATTATTTTATTATGTTTGATTAAAATAAAAATAATAAAAATAAGCATTTTCTAAAAATAATTATTTTATTATTTTTCTTTTTCTTATTTTATTACTTCCCTTCTACGTGACTTTACTGAAAGAACCAATAAGATGAATCCCTGCAGTCACGAAAGCTTTAAATCGAAACTAACCGTCATGTTTATATACGGCCGTTCGCATATCCGACGCCTTTTGAACATATCCGCCCTACACCCGAGACCCCCCAGGCGAGTTGGACGTGCGACGTTCCGACTCGCATCACAATATTCAGGTCCCGGGTCTCCAAGACACTTTATTGTTCTGACCGTCGCAATTCCGGTGATTTTGATCGTTCTCGCGAATTGGCGTGCGGTTGTTTTACGTTATCGATCGAGCGAAGAGTCGCTTTAGAATGTTCACGGTTTTGGTTTCAAAAAATTTATTTTTTTTGTTTCATTTTACTCCCGTGAATTATGTTGACCTGACACTGTTTATTAGAATTTGTCTTGAAATCATGGAATGGTTTTGAAAATACGTGGAGCGTTTGCTGGTTGTGATTTGTGAGCACAAGTAGTGTCGTGTGTGTGAGTCGTGATCGTCGTCGGCATCATAACACGGCTCGTTGTGAATAGTTGGTGCAATTTTGTGATTCGTTAATGCAGGGACTCCTCTACGCACGAACACGTTAAGTTCCAGAAGTCTGCTTGTAAGTCGATTGGTTCGTAAGTCCAACTTTACCCCTGTCAATTGCAAACGTGTTGAATGGCGTGGGCGCTAAACATGGGGAATGGTTTTAAAAGTTGTATAATCTCCTGTAGATGTAGATGCCACTGGTTCTTCACGTTCTGCAGATGGAGATGCCACTGGTTCTTCACATTCTGCAGATTTAGATGCCACTGGTTCTTCACGTTCTGCAGATGTCACTGGTTATTCATGTTCTACAGATGTAGATGCCACTGGTTTTTCATGTTTTGTAGATACCACTGGTTCTTCACGTTCTGCAGATGTAGATGCCACTGGTTCTTCACGTTCTGCAGATGTAGATGCCACTGGTTCTTCACGTTCTGCAGATGTAGATGCCACTGGTTCTTCACGTTCTGCAGATGTAGATGCCACTGGTTCTTCACGTTCTGCAGATGTAGATGCCACTGGTTCTTCACGTTCTGCAGATGTAGATGCCACTGGTTCTTCGCGTTTTGCAGATGTAGATGCCACTGGTTCTTCACGTTCTGCAGATGTAGATGCCACTGGTTCTTCACGTTCTGCAGATGTAGATGCCGCTGGTTCTTCACATTCTGCAGATGTAGATGCCACTGGTTCTTCACGTTCTGCAGATGTAGATGCCGCTGGTTCTTCACATTCTGCAGATGTAGATGCCACTGGTTCTTCACGTTCTGCAGATGTAGATGCAACTGGTTTTTCACGTTCTGCAGATGTAGATGCCACTGGTTCTTCACGTTCTGCAGATGTAGATGCCACTGCTTCTTCACGTTCTGCAGATGTAGATGCCACTGGTTCTTCATGTTCTGCCAATGTACATGCCACTGGTTCTTCACGTTCTGCAGATGTAGACGCCACTGGTTCTTCATGTTCTGCAGATGTAGATGCCACTGGTTCTTCATGTTCTGCCAATGTACATGCCACTGGTTCTTCACGTTCTGCAGATGTAGACGCCACTGGTGCTTCACGTTCTGCAGATGTAGATGCACTGGTTCTTCACAATCTGCAGATGTAGATGCCACTGGTTCTTCACGTTCTGCAGATGCAGATGCCACTGGTGCTTCACGTTCTGCAGATGTAGATGCCACTGGTTCTTCACGTTCTGCAGATGTAGATGCCACTGGTGCTTCACGTTCTGCAGATGTAGATGCCACTGGTGCTTCACGTTCTGCAGATATAGATGCCACTGGTTCTTCACGTTCTGCAGATGTAGATGCCACTGGTTCTTCACGTTCTGCAGATGTAGATGCCACTGGTTCTTCACGTTCTGCAGATATAGATGCCACTGGTTCTTCACGTTCTGCAGATGTAGATGCCACTGGTGCTTCACGTTCTGCAGATGTAGATGCCACTGGTGCTTCACGTTCTGTAGATGTAGATGCCACCATCGCCATCTATTGTGCGGCGATTGAACTTACAACTCTCGGTCCGAACATGCAACTGGACATACGGACAGGTTTGTTCGTATCTCTGAAAGTTTTAAGTCGAGTGTTCGTAAGTGGAGGAGTCCCTGTAATTGTCCTCGGCTGGTGTGATATCCGCATGCGGTGGGGTGTGTGACGGTTGCCATAATCGGCTCTTGAAAGCTTTGCAGTGGTGGGATGTCGCTAATCTTCACGACCAATATCACCATCAACACTGCCAGTGTCCTATGTGTACAGCAGTGTGATGTGCAAGTCATCATCAACGCCGCCACCACCACCACCCTCATTTCCACCATCAATCTCCGCCGCCAACATCACCATCAGTGTATACGTCGCTGCGTACAGCAGTGTGATACGTCGTTCATCATCGAAAGACAAAGATCCCCCGTCTAGCCTTCACACACTATTGGGGCAAGTGCTGTGAGCGAGCACCAATGAAGGTCGGCACGGCACACGAGGGGGCGGGTGGCCGGCAGGTACTCATTTGAGGTTGAGTCGACCTAGGGGAGGCCCAGGACCGGTTCAGATGATTGTCATTGTTGTTGGCAGTGAGCGGGAATCGAACTCGGGGCACCGGTTTCTGTAGTGCGGCGTAGCGCTAACCGCTGCACCACCACTCCCCACAACACCACTACCATCACAATCATCCATGGTACTCAGATGTGAGTACTCGGATTTTAAATGTAGTAGTGGGTTTACTCTACAACTATGTACGACTAACGAGAATTGGCACGTTCTGCTCACGTGACAAACCGTACTAATCGGCTGTGTCGGGTGGTGGCGGGTTTAATGACACGTTTATATTTTTACGCGATCTAACTCCAAAAAAAAACCGCTTACGGGTTTCATTTCATTTCATTCATTTATTTACTAGGCATAGCCCTGTGAGCCATGCGGCTCTTGAGTCGGGTGCAACCGCAACAAGCAAAAAAATATGAACATCTTAAAGCGACGACGCACAACAGATAAACCAGCAATTCTTCCAGAAAGGAAAAAAACAACACCGTATTACAGCGCTGTGTGCACAAATCCCAACGGGGGTGACATTGGTCTGGAAAGCCGTGCTCCGTGTCAAAAGCACAATCATCATTACTCCACGGAGCTCTCCCTCTCGTGCTGACTACGTGTAATCCGTCAGTTGTGCGTGGTGTCTCTCCCATCATCATCATCAACAGCTACTCGGGTTGGCAACCTTCCCGCGTTTGACTCAGACGGCTGCCGCGGGGGATTGGCCATGCGTGTTGCTGCGGGGTGGTGGGCAGGAATGATGATTTTTTTTCGATTTAAAGCTTTTGTGACTGCAGGGATTCATCTTCTTGGTTCTTTCGGTAAAGTCACGTAGAAGGGAAGTAATACAATAATAAAAATAAAACATAATAAAATAATTCTCACGACGTTTCGGCCACAACGCAAGCAGCCGTCCTCAGGTGGAGAACAGGTCTGTCGGGGAGACAGAGTCTGAAGCTCTGTCTTGAAGCTTTGTCTTTCAGACGCTGTCTTTCCGACAGACCTGTTCTCTACCTGAAGACGGCTGCTTGCGTTGTGGCCGAAACGTCGTGAGAATTATTTTATTATGTTTTATTTTTATTATTGTATTACTTCCCTTCTACGTGACTTTACCGAAAGAACCAAGAAGATGATTTTTTTTGTTTCCCCTCCACCGGGATCTTGCACAGCAGCACCAGCAGCAGGTATCGTGGTGACCTGTGGTTCAGTGCCGTGCGCGTGTACTGCGTGCGTGTACTGCGTGTGCGCGTACTGCGTGTGCGCGTACTGCGTGCGCGTACTGCGTGCGGGCTTGTTGGCGAGCCGTCGGACGAAGACGGTCACCACGCCGCGCGCTTTCTGCGGCCGTCTGGAACGCTCTGTCCCGAAGCCACTGGGAGTTATGCACTTTTAAATCGTCGTCTAGAAGATTGACAAGTTGATTTCTTTTAGAACTGCTTGTTTAGTTTGTTTCCCCCCCCGCCCTGCACCTCCGATTATTGCGGTTGGTTATGTACGGTGCGAAAGAAGTTCAACATACAATACTTACAGTGTTGATTGGAGCTCAGCTGACCGAGGAGACGAGGCCGGATTTGGTCTGTGGGAAAGATCATGCATTGTCAACACCACCACCAGCACCACCATATCAGCAATTTCCATGTTCATCATCATCAATTTCCACTCCTTGTGATTTGCATGTACAGGTGATGAGTGTGACTTTCATCATCACAGCCACCAAACAAGACAAAGATCCCCTGTGTAGCCTTAACAGACTTGGGGCAAGTGCTGTTAGCAAGTAGCAGCACCTCCTGAAGGCCGGAACGGCACACGAGGGGGTGAGTGGCCAACACCACGCCCGGCCGCCTTTGTCTCCCCAGTGGCGATGTTTACACACCGCACCAGGTTACTCATTTGAGGCTGAGTCGAACTAGGGGAGGCCCAGAACCGGTCCAGATAATGGTCACCGGTGTTGGCCGTGAGCGGGGATCGAACTCGTGGCGCTGGGTTCGTAGCGCAGCGTAGCGCTAACCGCTGCACCACCATCATCATCATTCCTCGAGCCCTAATTGTACATTGGTGAGTGTATTGTTTACTTATCAATATCATCGTCGTGGTGTGCGCGTGCGGTGATGAAAGTGTTGAACCCTGGTGATGACTTGCGATTTAGCTGAAATTCTCATGACGGTGAAACACTTATGAATGTGACCAGTCGGGGGCTGATCTTGTGAACGATTCAATGGTTGTTGTTGTTGTTGATGATTAAATGGTTGTGGTTGTTGTTGTTGTTGTGACATTTCATTGG